CCCGGTTGCATCTCCTGTATGAACAAACCAACCGTTCTGGCCTCTACTAGACCAAACCAATGTACTTGTTCAAGAAGAGTAGCACTGAGGTTGCAACTCTCTTTGATATGTTCAGGGCTTCCACATTCCCTGCAGTTTTGAGCCCGACAGGGTTTAGCTTGATATGTTGCCTTACGCCCTGTAATTTCTGGCTCAGGAGTCGCCAAAACCATGCATTGAATAAGCAGTATTGGGAAGTGACTCAATTGATAGATGGACAGGTCTAGGAAACTTTTTGAAAAGTAGAAATTTCTGTGTGGTGTGATTGTCAAGCTACCTGATAGGATCGATATTTTCTCTGCCAACTTCAGGCTCCATGCAGTCCCACCTGGTAGGACCCTCCCCATGGATGAGCCCATCCTCTTATGTATACTGCAGCTGCTGTATGCCTGTGGGCAGTAATCCACCACAGCCCACGACTGTGCTGAATGGAGGTAGTCCGTACGTCCAGGTACCCCTCCTGCCTTCCCCCCCCTTCCCCACGCCGCAGAACATGAACCCCAGGAAAGATGGTGTGTGTGTGTCTCTTATAGGGTTTGTAGTTTGGCGTCTAACTACAGAAGGTTTCTGCATATGGTGTTTACTTTTTCGCAAGGGGTTCAGAAAATGAGTCCTAAAGAATAGGAGCCATATGAGTCGGGTAACGGAAGGGGGGGGTTTACCCAGCCTGCCAGCAGCACATCTTGCATATGTAAACTTTAGCATTTAAAGGGAAAGTATGGTTGAGACTCATTTTTTATTATTATTATTATTATTATTATTATTATTATTATTATTATTTTTTCTTTTTTTTGAGAGCATTCTTTGCAGGATGCGAGTTGCTTTTACCCAGAGTAAGGTCCTCTTCCCCCCCCCCCCCCCCCCCCCTCCCCCCCGATGGACCACCTGCAAGTGCCGAACCAGCTCCTCATCAATCACCAGCTTCAGCAACCTCCGGAGCACTAGCTCCGCTGGCATTCAAATCTCTCAACCAAAGCGCAGATATGGCTGGGAAGAGCTTGGTATATTTCTGCAAAGTGGAGTGATATGCTCACAAGACCAAAAGGTAGATGGTGGTCTCGGTCCTGTGGGTGTTTGGCTCTCAAGGTGACCAGCTGCATGACCAGGGTTTGGTTGAAACACTCCACCAGCCTGTTGCTCTGGGGTTGCAGGGGAATGGAGCGTGTTACCTGCAGATAGTGAATGATATCCTCTATTGCAGCCACATCAATGTTCTGCTACTAGTGGCTCTGTAGCTCTTCTGGAGCCCCAAAGAGAACTCCTTGGTAACCAGCTTCTTCATCGACAACACAGGGCCCTGGTCCATGTCTTCTCCCACTATCTCTATGGGAGCCCCATCCGGGTGGAGCAGGAGCAGTGCTCTTTCGCTGGGCTCCTTCCTGGTGGTGCAGCACTGCACATACAGCTCAACATCACTGCAGCNGCCCCCCATTTCCAAAACTCAGCCGTATACGTATTCAAGTCTCCCGGGGGTGATGATCCCTCAGATGCCCTTGAGCTACTCTCAAGCCGCCTACGCATACCAGGTAAATGGTTCTCCTGCTCTCCTCCGATGTATCTGCTTGCTTCGCTCTCGTTTCAGTGAAGCCCCTCCAGGAAACTGATAAACTTGTGGGTAGATGTTCCAGGATGCGTCTCTCTCTCTCTCCTCCCCCCCCCCCCCAAGATGGCCTACATTTTTGCTCCCTGCCAGCTCCAGGAGAAAATTGCAGGATGGACAAAATTTTAGATTTTTTTTTTTTTTTCTTTTTAAAAATTACAGCTGATCACTCAGTATTAGTCTCAACAGATGAGATCTCAAGATTATTATGCAACAGCTTAGGTTTAAAAATAATTTTTGGCTTGAAGTCATGGTCAAAATTTTAATGTGACTTGTCAACACCTACTCGAATCTTGATTTTGGATAGACAAATGATGCTGGCAAGGCTTTTTGCAGAGGTGTGTGTGTGTGTGTGTGTGGGGGGGTCCAGATTGCAGAGGCAGAGATCTCACCTTGTGCCCTTCTCCCAGTACACCTCTCCACACTGGTCTGGAGAACAGATGACACGGCTCGTCAATCAGGTGAGAGATTTCCGCAAGGGCCAATTAACCAGCCCGCCTGTGTGTGCCAGAATCTGGGCTGAAATGAGCAACTCTGAGTAATTATGGCAGAATTACAATACACACAGCTTTGGAATTGTTATACGGGGGCGTGTGACAGGTCTTATCTCTAAATGTACAGACGCTCCTCTACTTACGAACAAGTTGCGTTCCGAACAGCTGTTCGTAACTTGAAATGTTCGTAAGTCGTTATTCAACATCATTTTAAGGATATACGCAAGTACAAAGAACTAGGATGCTGGGAGTTCGCACGCTACGCTGCTGCGCGGCGGGAGTAGCGGCCAGAAGTCGTACTAGGAGGAATTTGTTGCGGACAGGAAACGGGAGCCCAAGGAACACAATTTGGACAATCCTCTTCGTTCGTATGTCTGAAAGTTCGTAAGTAGAGGAGCGTCTGTACATCTTAGGTGTGATCTTGCATCACTGGGATTATTTTGACTTGTATGGAATTTTTCTTTCCTTTTGTAAATTTATAAGCATAGGTGTCTGGTTCCTCCTGCTGATTTTTTAGTATTTAAAAGCTGACTAACAATTACGATTCAATTGTTAAGCTCCCTTATATAAAGTCTGTTAATTTTAACTGGAGTTTGAGTTGTACTAGACTGGTTTGGTGCAGTTTGTTTGTTGACCACTAGAGAGCAATGTTGATTAAAACCTAACGGAAAGTATATTATTTGAATTTTGCGGTTCTGGCAACAAATTCTTGGTCTGACTAGTTTCTTCTCCAGTGTTATTTGAAAAGCTGTTTTTGTGTAGCTAGGCTCACTTTTTTTTTTTTTTAAAGGGCATGTAACCGTTGAGCCTGCTGGTTTGTTATGGCAGAACTCTGAGTTAGTCAGTGCTCTTTTTATTTAGCCGTTGATTAAAATTGGTAGTTACAGCTTTGCGAATGAAATATGAAGCATGTATAAGATCTTTTGGCCTGTATGTCGCACAGGGTGGATATGTGATCTGTACACTTCATGAAATGTGACATTATTTTGGTCAAAAATAATAATCCTTCAGCTTGGATGATGCGTGTCGTATAGTGAGTTTAAACTCTCTTGGCCTTTTCCTGTATTAATCTGCAGTTTCATGACGTCGTTTTGGCTCCAGTCCGTGCTCACACAATTTGCACGATCGGCGTGTGGCGATAGTGCCACCCGGTGAGGCCGAGCCGTGCCCAGTGCCCCCTAACGTGTGACGCACCCTTTTCCAGAACTGCGTGGATTGTGGCGTCCAGACGCTGCTGACGCTCCTGTAGCTGGAGCCCTTCGACTTCTGAGGCGAGTATTTCTGAGATGAACATAATGTCCCTCTTAATTTTGAAGGGAGTTCACCCCCCCCCCTTCCTCTGCTTAATGGGTGCCCTTATAAACAAGCTGAATGTAATAATTTGGCTCCCTGGGCTGAATTGATTAAATATGAGGTTTTGGAAATAGGCCTTTTCCATAATCCTTTAATGGTGCACATTATGTGCAGTTGTATGGGGGTCTCTGTCTCCCTTTGATTGGATTTAACTGGGAGGTGTAGCTTCAGCATCTCGCAGGGCTCCTGAACCATATCTAATATGCCCTTCATGTCCTGAGTCGCTGCATCACAGCCCTGATGTGACTGGAAGCCATGCCTGGGAATGGCAGTGGTTCCGATTTGCATAATAAATGTACTTAATAAATGGTTATAAAAGTACTCAACAAATGACTGGCAAGCCTAGTTATCGTTAGTCATTAGGTCTTATTGCAATGCGTCCTCCAATAGTGGGGGGGGTTGGGTGGGGATTATGGATTTCCAGAAGATGATTTTTGGGATTTGTTGAGAAGCTGGAGAGCTTCCCAGTGCATATTCATTAATGGCATGTGTAGGATGAGGGACCCGGCTGTAGTGTCCGGTGAGTTCCCTCTGTCTGGGGGTGGGTTTGTGGCAGACCCGGGAGTCCGTGATGCAGTTCTCCAATGCTGTTATTCTTTGCGCAGTGAAGCATCACCCCAAGGATGGCGCTGGCCTCATCGGCTCCGCGGGACCCAGGAGTGACTCATCAGGCTGTTAGTCCGATGGAACCATTTTTAAGAACTTCATGTGGAACTTGGGGGTGGAAGCCTTTCCCATAGTTGGTTTTCCCATCTCCCACTTAAGATTTATAGTGGGTTAATGACCCCCTTTCTTTCTGTCCCCTCTTGACTTTTAAAACCACCTTTTTGCGATTTAATTTCTTCGTCTTAACTCCTCAAGTGCTCTCCGGTGTTTATATACATGTATGTAAATAAGATCCTTACTGATGTGATGAAGCCACATTGCAGAATTGATTCTGGAGCTAAAATTTGACGACTGTTCTTGAGCGTCCGAGCAAAAGCCGTCGGCTGTTTGTCTCCTGCTGGATTAACTGACGTGATGAATGTGACTTCATCTGAGTCGTTCGCTCTTTGCACGTTTAAACTTGGATATATAAGCAACTAAAGGTTATTCCACTGTCTTGACCATCACTGAACCTCATCCTTTTGTCGCTCTTTGGAGCCGTATATTACAGCACTGATCACACAAGTGTTTCCTGTTTGTTTTTATTTTTTTTTCCTTCACGCTTCTTGCTTGCTGTTTCTCAGATACAGATTATGAGCTCTTATATCCAAAACGAGTAATTGTATCCATTCGGGGCATCTGCCACTTCCTGGGGATCTTGCTGCAGCGGTTTCTCGCAAGTAAACAAAGCAGACGCTCTGTGTTCGTTTTCGACAATTTTTATTTTTTTTTTTCCCTTTCACATTTGACACTTTGAGAAGGTTCACTCTGTTTGCACTTAAATGTTTGTTCAAGTTCCGTTAGTGTTTGCTGTGTGTGTTTCTTGATGTGAATCGTTTTTGTGGGGGTGATGTGCACTCTGACCAAGCTGTTCACGCGTGTCGGTGGCTCTAGTGCCAATCTCTGGGTAACAGTTGCAGTATTAAGAAGCAAAAATTGTGTGTAATCAGTTTGTCATCGACGTGAATGGCTGTTTGGACGTGTTCGTGAGTGTCTCATCGCAGGAGTTTGGGCTCAGTGTCTGGGGTTTCTAAGTCAGCTCTGTGTTCCATGTTGTAGATTTTGACCAAAAGTGGAGGGAAGAATAATTGAAATAGAATTTTTCCTGTTTCTGCATTTGGAGTTACAGAATAGTGACAGTTGAGGGCACTGTCTTTTGTGTTTAAGTTGCTGTGATTTGTTCTTTTCACATTTAAAAAATAAAGAATAAAGGTTGGGTTTTCTTTTTAAGAAGATATGCAATAAAGTTGAGTTAGAATTTTGAAGAAATTGTTTTTTTTTTTCTCCCCTAACCCCCTGGGGTGGGTACTAATGGAATGTGGTCAGTCTGTGTAGTCTGGCTTTGTAACTGAATAAGAAGCACAATTAAAACAACTTTAATACCTGTATTATGCAACTTGTGTGTGTGTGTAAGGGGGGCAGTTAAGCACACACTCCACTCATGAATTTTTATTTTCTTACTCGAGCACTGAATTCAGTGTATGTAGATGTTTTGTAAAGCCCAAATTACTTGTAAATGTTTTTTTTGCCCTGTCAGGTTATTAACGGGCTGAAGTTCTGACCGTTTTTTGCATCTAAATTTAAGATCTGTGTTTTAAAAAACATCCAATTATTCTTCACCAGCGCTCATGTGGAGAGCAGGAGCTCTCGTTCTTCAGTGGCGTTTGGGTTCTTAACACATGTAACTGCTCATGTTCGAATGTTTGGGTTCAGTATGGTGGCGGCCTGAATGTTTTGTGGTAGTAAACAGAAATGGGGCTGAAAGGCGCCGTTGGTTTGGATTTACCCTGAACTGTCAGGTGTTGCTTTTGAGCAGGTTCGGGGGGTTAAAGGTCAAGGTCGTGGCTCATTCCTTGCCACCATTCCCTCTTAAAGTGAATAAAACATGTAAAAAAAAATATATATATTTAAAACCTGATAACTTCCTCTCCTCTAACCAATGTCAGAACACTGCTCATGGGAGTTGTACAAAAATGTTGAGGGCAGAAGGGAAAATGATTGGTTCAGAGGGAGAGAGAGAGCCAATTAGCTTATAAAGGAGGTATGTCTAAGCACCTGGAGGATTAATGACCAGCCAATCATGTTTGGTCCCGCCTCCTCGTTGTTTGGACCCACCTCCTTTGTAGTCTGATTGGTTATCTCTCCGAAACACAATTTTTCCTTCTGCCCTCAGAACATTTTTGTGTAAGTGAAACTCCCATGAGCTGTGTTCTGACATTGATTAGAGGAGAGGAAGTTGACGTTTTATTCTTCACTCTGTGTACTTGCCAAAGTAAAAGCCCTCTCCCTGTTGTGGTTAAACCCGGCATGTTGGTACATTTCTTGTCGTGTCTGGCAGCCGGCCAGCGGCTGACCTTCAGGTTCTGGCCGTTAACCGGCGCTCTCGGTGTTCACATGACCCACTCTGGCACCCACAGTGCGGGGGCTGGTTACTGCGACAGCTGGGACCCCCCCTCACAAGCTGCTAGGCCTGAATAATGGATACATCTCATCTGTGCTTTATAAAATATACATTTGCGTAGTCACGAGGCTTCGCCTGAGCCCACCTGGAAAGCGGAGGCACGACGCCGTTCGGCTGCCCCGTCGTCCTTTTCCCGCCTCTCCGCTGCCAGGTTATTGGGTGGCTGTCACTGCCCACCCGCCTATCACACCTGTCTTCTAGCCTCCCTCTGAACTCTGCCCCCCTCCTCGAGCCTGACACACCACTTCAGTGACTAGCACCGTAACCCCCAGGGTTGCGGGTTCGATTTTCACCCCTTGCTATGTGTGTGTGTGGGTATGTGGGTGCTGGGTGGAGTTAGCATACATCCTCCTAACTTCCAAAGACTTGCACTCAGGCTAATCGGTGTCCCTAATTCGGCCATATTGTCTGAGCGTGTGCCCTGGGATGGACCAGCATCCCGACCACAGTGTCTCCTGCCTTCTGCCCTGCTCCTCCTGGGATAGGCTCCAGGCGACCCTGTGACCTTGGAATAGATAAGTGGTTGGAAGATGCATAAGATCAAAGCGTCCCACTGCTAATTAGTTTTGGGTCAGAAATCCATTAGTGTTATACAGCTGTGTCCTTTGGCCACTAGACCACCTACCACTAGAGGTTGTTGCCATCCTATCACATCCCAGTTCACTGATCTTGACCTTAAATGATCGTTACTGTGCAATGACAGTATGCTGACTTATGGGAAACTATAGCAAATATTTTAATAAAAGCAGTGTTCTTTTTTGCTGACTGAAGCTTTTTTTTCCAAACCACTGGTTGCATTTCAGTCTTTGACTTGTGGTTATGTCCGACGATGACCTCCTGTACCATTCATCTTCTCATGGTGGCACCAAGCAATCACCATCAAAACCATTTCACTTCCTTGTGCAGTTATGGATCCACGTTTTATCCATCCCTTTCATTCCCTGCATCCTGCATCTCCCCTCCCTCCTCCCCCCGCCATCGCTTCTTCACTCAGCTGGAACAGTACCGGCTGCTGGGGGGAGTCAGAGAGACAGAGAGAGAGAGAGGGAGAGGGTTTGGGAAAGGGGAGGTGGAGAGCAGGGGTGGTAGAGGTGGAGACGGTTCGGGCGAACTTTGCCGAGGGCGCGCCGATCTGTCGCTCACTTATATTCGAAGGCAGCGAGAGATCAGTCGTTCAGTCAGAGGACTGGAGGTATGGATGTCAGAGGATGTGGCTTTTGCGGTCGTGCAGTACAAGCGCAAAGCCGAAGCATACTTTAAGCATGACCTAAACTGGAGGAGGCGGAGTGCGTTCGCTGCGCTCCGTTAACTGCTGGGCTGCCGGGGAAAGGGAGAGAGACGCGTACTGGAAAGTGAAGACCTGACATTCGTGTTTTTTTCCTTTTGAAGTAAATACTAAGAAAAGATCGTTTCTTCCCGGATGTGTGAGACAGCGAGCGCCTGTGCGGTGAGCGGGGCGCATTTTCACTGACATGGGTGCGTAACTGGCGACTGTAGTCTACCTGGCCACCCGCTCCTGAACCTTAGCGTGAACCCACAGCATCCCAAACAGGTATTCCCCGCCTCTTGCCGTAAAACACACACGCACACACACACACACACGGCAGTGTTTGCTTTAGTCCCGGATCTTGAGGCGAAACGCGGCATGTAGAAAGTCACTTTATGGGAGTTCTGTATTTCCCCGCTGTTATTAATCGATCGTGGCATCTCACGTCGGGGTATTGAAATAGACGGCGGTGATCCCGCGCGCCTGATACATGCTTGCAGATGCCATCTAACCATCTACGTGGTGCACCACTGGCCTTTAAAATAAGGCTGAAGTTTTGCCCAGATATAAACCATCCCCCTCATCGCGGCTGAGCCCCGGTAACACCACGTGTGGCGTCTGGTACCTCGGCTCATATAAGGCTGCTGGGGAGCCGGTCCGGGATCTAGAGATGCATGACATGCCAGACTGTGCCTGCAACAGCTTGGGAAGGGGTGGCGGTGGTGGGGGATCAGAGGAGAGCTTTTATGCTACGGATTACTTTCAGGCGGCAAGTCCCAAACGCGCTGTCAGGGAGGCTGACGGATCCACTGTACAGACGCGGCCCCCACCGTGCCGCTATTTTACCAGTGATCCTATTTTCAATATATTTCTACATTTTAATATCCAGATAGGCTATGCATGTCCATAGTGACACCTAACGATTTTATTTGTTTCTTTTACACCAGTGATATACTTTTAGGTTTGTTTTCATCCGTCTGAGCGTCGCGATGTTTTGCGCATAGGTTTACCAATTGTTGGTGGTGAACAAGTGAGTGTTACTCTACCTACGTTTGAAACAATATCTAGACAGTCTTCCTGTTTGCACGACTATAAATTCCCACTCATCCTATATTTAGCAGAAGTGTTTTCAATTGTGGTTTGTGATCCGGAAGATGAATACCGTTTTTGTGTATACATGATTCTAAGCACTGATAAATGGATGATAGCCTACTTTAAACCCAAAACCCGGTGCTTGTAATTTGCTTCGTTGTGAAAAATCTTGTACAATAATCAGTCATTTCAAAAACTCTTTTTACTTTAGCGTCAACAGGGGGAGATTTTTTAGCCATCGTGTTTCCATTTGTCTAACTTAAAACACAATATGGAAAATACCCCCCTCCCCGCCTCAGTTATAGCGGTCAATAACACATGGTTCCTATTTAAACAGTTTTGTAGAAGTTATACGGGAAAGCGGTCTCTCGAAAATATGTCTTTTGCTTGCTTATAATGATACAGCAATCTGTTATTAGACATACACATTAAACTCAAGAGACTTTTACTAAGCTGCTGGTGAAAGACTGATTGAGGTTCGAAAAATCAGCGTATGACCATTTCAGATTAATTCATGGGGATCTGTGTTTTTTATAGATTTATAGGAAATATTTAGAACAGCAATAAATTTATTATAGCTGTTTTTATTATAGCTGTTCTTTTTTTTGCACCAGTAATGCAACTAGAATGTACGCCCGAATCACAGGTCGGTGTTGCACATCTAGTTTCTCTATGAATGACAAGAACCCTGGAGAAAGGCGGGGATCATTCCCGGTGGACACAGTGACGAACTCTGACAGAATGGGAATAAGAGGGGAGGCGGCGGTGGCCTTTTATTCTGACGACTAGAGAGGCAGCGCTTATCAAGGTTGGTCCCCATGGCAACGGCTTGTTGTTTGCATCTTGACGGCACAGATATGGTTGAGCCTTGTCTGAGTTTGGGGTGGTCCCCCATGGATGGAGAGGGGGGAGTGTGGGTGGGGGGGGGGGCAGCGAGGAGACATGTTTACGCTTTTAACTGCCATTTCTGTGTTTACGTGCACATTTGGCGAGCAGGCATCCCTTTTGTGTTTGAATGTCGTTTATATTCGCCGTGCCAACCGCTGAGCAGCGTGTTCTGTACTTGTAAACTCACGCTGGTTGTGTGGTCAACCATTTGCTCAACTCGCGGGCATATTTTTTCATTCCCGCTACACGCTGGAGGTCGCAGTCTGCGGGTGAGGTCGCTTTGTGCTTCCACTGATCGTTTTCGTGGCTTAGGGGTGAGTAAGGCAACTGGTGCGATTCCACATCAGAGTGTATAAAGCTCACATTCAGGGGAAGCACAGGGTTTCTAGGCCTGAATATGTTTGCACTGTCCAAAAGCTTAGGTTAAAAGCAACATCCTGTCACTATTGATTGTGTTTGAGTAGACTGCAGTTTCTTCCCGCAGAGACCTGGCATTTCTGCACTAATTCCATTTTCCAAGATAGCCCACATCCCCGGGACTCTTTCAGAGCTGTTTGACCTTCTGTCTTTGCCTGCTAACCCTCACATCTCCGCCTACCTCTCCCATTTTAAATCCATAACCTCTGCCTCCCTCATACCCTCCCCATCTTCAACCAGCGTGGTGCGGCTTGTGGGGCAAGAAAAGGGGAATATTAAGGAGGAGAGTGAGAAAAAGAGGGAGGGATGTAATGGTCAGGGAGAAGAGCCAGGAAAAAGATGGAGAGGGATGGTGGAAAGAGGATGGATGGAAAAAAATATCAGGAAGACATGAAGATTGGAGCATTGCTCTCATTTCTGCAGACACTTCAGAGGAAGTGACTGCAAATTTCACACAGCAGTTTCTGACCTTCTCTTTATGGCCAGGCATTGGAATGTTGATGATGTGTCTGTTCTCCAGGGTCTCTTCTGAAGGGTTTTCTTGTTTTCCTGTCCGCACGTCATTGACTCTGGTCAAATGCGTTTGTTTGTGTGTGCGTGTTTGGGACTGACCCAGACTATTGGGAAATGTCTTCCACTTTGAATCCTTACCTTTATCTGGGTAACATACACTGAAGCCTGGAGTGCTTGCTGCTGCAAAGTATTATGGGTAGTGTGCAGCGTCTCTGTGAGGGCAGCAGTATTGGAGGCTACTGTGTTCTCTTTTTTGAGGGCAAATGTGCTGTTAAGATCCTCTCAAAAAGTGCCCCATCATATTTGCATAATGAGGAAAAGACACCGACCCCCCCCCCCTCACCATCTCCAGCCCATAATGGATCCCATTTCCAGTATTTGTTAGGCCTTTTGCTGAAATGGAATTCCTTCCCAATCAGACTGAGATTTTATGAGGTTTCTGCCCTTGTTTTTGCCCCCTCCTTTCCATTTTAACCCCCACCCCCCACACACACACACACCACCATCTTGCCCTCTATTAGTGCCCCCGGAGAGTGGGCTCGAGGCGGTCAAACTGCCCGTTCTCCTCGAGCACAGTGTGGAGGATGGATGTCAGGCGTGACCTCCAAGTTTGCTACCCAGCTTTGGTGTGTGTCGTGTGCTCAGAGCTGATCTAAATATACTCTTCTCAACATCTCAGCTCCTCACCACATGCAGACCTGTTAGATGCTAGATTTCACCCCCCCCCCCCCATTTTTCTTTCTTTGCATTGGTAGAATCCACAGTGTAGAGAATAAGAATGAACACAGCATGCTGCAGACCTATATTCCTCGAATATGTGTATATGTATGTGTCTGTCTGTATATATGTATATATAAAGGCAATGAAATGTCTTCATGAAGCAGCTGGACAATAGATGGAGGATGGATGGATGATGGATGGATGGATAGGTGTGGATCACTGTATATTCACTATTGGTGGTGTGGTGAATCCAAGGATATAGGAGAGAATTTGATACGGGGGGTGAATGAAGCCTGATGAATTATTTGGGGGTTCGCATTGCCCCCATCTCTTACACCCCTGGATGGGTTGGTTGGTATAACATCTCCAGGGTTTGGGGTTCGAATCCCGCCCCTGCTCTGAGCAGAGTCTGCCTGTTCTCCCCATGTTATTCTCTCTTTCGTCTACAGTCCAAAAACATGCAGTTAGGATAATTGTTATCGCTAAGCTGCCCATAGTGTGTGTCTTTGTGCCACATGATGGGACTGGTATCCGCTTGCTGTCTGGGATATGATCCAGACCCCCCCCAGGACCGTGTACTGGCTAAGCAGGGAGGAGATGGATACATTGGTCCGTGACCTTAACCCTGACCATGATGGATGGGTATATGTTTATTCTAACAGCGTAATTTACAAATAATTCTTACTTCTTGAAATTGCACTGTTTGGCTGTAAGTAGTATGGAGTTACAGCACATTCAGTTTGTTTTTGATTTAACAGTTAAATGTGCATTACCTGTCCTCCTACCAAGATGTATGTCCCTGAGAGAAGTACTTAACCTTCCTGCTTAAGTACGTATAAATAGGTTAAAGTTTAAAGCTGTCATTTGATTTGGACGAATGGGTCTACTGTTCAAATGAGTAATATAATATTACTCTCAATCACAGTCAGAATGAATTCTTTGCTGTATCGCTCTTGACGGGAATTCAGAAGAAAAATGTCCTTTCTCTTCTGCTATAGCGGCAGATGTCAAGCACTTAGGATAAACAGGAGCTGCGAAAGAACCCCCCCCCCCCCCCCCCCCCCCTGTTAGTGTGCCTTTTAGTCACGCGACACCTTCGCCCGTGTGAGGCATGTGAAACTTTTCACCCTTATTTTGGGTTTAGATTAAGTGCAAAAGGGTATTTAGAAAAAACCTAGTCGCTACACTGATTTTGGCTGTCAAATTACAGAAATCTGACCAAAGAAAAATCTGTACAGGTGTTCTGACAAAACATCCTATCTATCGAGACGTGCTATCGAGCCTTTCTGCGCATGTGCAGTTCCACAGTCTTTGGATTCGTGTTTTAGGGGTTAGGGTTAGGGTTAAGGTAAAGGTTTTAAGGAGTTTTGGGGGTTAGGGTAAGAGTTAGGGTTAGGGCTATCGATTAGCACTACGGTAGGATGTTTTGATAAAGTAGGACGTTTTGTCAGAACACCGGCTACACCAGGGTTATTCAACTCACGGTCCTCGAGGTCCGAGCACTGCTGGTTTTCCAGCCTTCCTTTACCTGTCAGTCAGGTGTGAAGCCTCTGACCAATCAGAATCAATAATTATTAAACTAACTACCTGGGAGAATTGAAAACACGGCCTGGATTTGGAATCGAGGTCCCGAGTTGAAGAACCCTGGGCTACACGAAATTATTAATGATTTCTCAACGAAAGTCGTAAATAGGTGACCTGTTTATGACTGCAGTCACAGGTTAATGTTGTAAATGCTACTCCGGCAATCTTTTTTTGTCACGGTTTGATAAACATCGCTATTGTGTCCTTTGGCGGCGGGACTCTTCGCCATTATTTCATCCACGGGTAAAAGTCCTCGCATTTGCTAAAGCCTTTCCCGTCATGAATTACCCCCGGTCCTAATTGCGATGTATTAGGATAGCTAATTTGATTTCTTTATAATTGACTGCCTATCTTTCCATTACGTGCAGTCACCTTGCAGAATGACATGCGCCGCAATCTCATCTGCGCCCCTCAAGCCGCTCGGTGGCCGGGACCGGTGTAATCAGACCTGAACAGAGCAAAGTGCCCCCGCCAGCCCCCGCCGGCTTTAATCGGCTGCACCCGATGGCCGGAGCGCTGTCACGCCGGATTAATGCGAGGGGAAGCCGGCGGCCGTGTCTGAGCTCCGGATAACTGACGCACCGCGCTACTCTCAGCTAATTTAATCCGGCCCGGGCGCCTGTGAAATGGACGTATGCTTTTATTTATTCCGATGCATCTATCAGATATGTCGCTCTTAATGTTATTTTTATGCTTGTGTCTCGCTTGCCCAGAAATATTATGTAATTCGCTTTATTATTTGCGGCTCCCCGGGGAGTTGGAGTTCAATGTTCTCCGGCTTTCATACTTCCTGTGATCAATGTACGGTGCCGGATTTTTCTTGGAGCTTATGAGTTAGATCATCGCTGGAGGTCTTAGAAAATTACTTCCTGCACAGGCCTGTCAAGCCCAAGGGGAAGGGGGATCTTCATGGTGGGGCGTTTTGTGTGGGTTTCCTATGGCACCAAAAAGACTGGGGGGGGGGGAGCTGGGACACCCATCTCACCTGTCTCTGTCCAAAACAAACAGGCAAAATGGGCTGCGGACTGCAGAGGCTGAGGAAGTCGGAGGAGAACAGCCCAGGGAAAATCTACTCCACCTTGAAGAGACCACAGGTGCAGATCAAGGTGGGGGTGGTCTACACCTACCGCTTCGTGGACTTCCTCCTGGGTGCAGAAGGTGGGTAATCACAACGTCAGTATGAAGATGCAATGCGACTCGGCGTAACTTTGAAAACTGGATCACACTGGTTCTGACGTGGCCTAATGTGAATTAGGAAAGACTGTGCTGGACAGGACCATACTGAACCCAAAGGGGAGTGCTGGGAACTGATTTCTGGGGATTCCCCTTTTGTGGCCGGGTGAGGGGGGGGGGGGTGTACCAGAATCCAGAGTAGGGGGAGGAAGGAAGGGAGGAGAGGTGGCCAGAGGAAACAAAATGAAAAAGAGCCAGTATGGTGGGGTTCTGGGCAAAGGAGTGAAAGTAATTAACAACCTGGCAGCCAGGTTTCTCAGGGTCAAAGCTGTGGTGAGAGGTTACTGCGAGACAAAGCAGGGCGTCACACAAACACACAGACCCCCTCGGCCAGAATCGCAGCAGATAGGGACAGTCAGCTGACTCTCAAATCACTGGTATAATGTTTGTGAATTAGCCTTAGCGCAGGCTAACAGGTGGCTATGAGGGCGACACAGCGCTATGTTTACAGTGCTGGGAAGTAAAAGCTGTAAAGCAAATGGGCCGAAATGACAGAGCCGGTTAACCAGCGCGGCCGACAGGCTGCCTCTTCGTTAAATGATGTCGGAAGCTTAGAAACGCAAATCCCAAAGCGCACACACGCTGTCTCAGGATGCAGAGCCCCGGGTCGGCCCCCCTCAAACCCGTGATATTTCATCTAGCGGTTTGTGTTTTCCAGTCCTGCCCGGTGAGAGGCTTCCGGAACCCTCCTGGGTCCTGTGTGACTGGACGGATGCTAGCGAGTGCCGAGCCGGGGAGTGTGAATCACTGACGCAGCTCAGAATCACTCTCGCTCTTCTCAGCACGTAACGGCAGCTGTTTTCCTTTCAGGCTCCCTTAACCAGGGTGACCTTTAACCTTAGTGCAGCTAACATGAGCATCACTAAAATCATCCAGCTAATCGGCCGCTCCAAATTATCGCAGCATTACGACTGAGAACAACTCCGGCTACAAATAGGGGGCGCTGTGATGCTCATCGTCATCTGCCCGCACCCCTACTCGCACCACATCGTGCAGCACCCCTTCAGCCTCCTCATTTGATTGGGCCCCGCCCCCGCATCCTTTTTACCTTTCGGCGAAATCCATCTAGCATATTAACGAGCCAGTAGGCGCGCGACGTGAAACGGCTCGGAGGTAGGTCGAGTGTCACCTGATAGGACCCGACGCTCCAGGACTCGGGGTCGTCCAAATCAAAGCCTACAGGATGTGTCCCTCAGTGTCTCCTTATCGCGCTCCCAGACAGCGGGGTCATTTATATGTAAAACTCCCCGGCACCTCGAGAGCTCATTGAGCCGCTTCGGCAGCGGGGGCGGCAGCAACCCACTTTTTTGTTTGCCTTATTTATTTATCTATTTATTTATTTCCTTGGGTCCAGTGGACCCCTGTGACGAAGCTTGGGGGGGGGGGGCATCCCGAGCCTGCTCGCATATTCCTTAAGGGTCATCTGTTTGTTTGCGGAGATGCGGGACGACGCCAGGGGTTGGGGGAGGGGCTTACCGAGGATTTTCACCGCATGAAAGATGCTGGCGGTGGCCCGGCATCTCAGAGGCAAGTGACATTGAGGAGGATTCAAGGTCAGATCCGGCGCTCAATTTAATTCCGACGCTGTTAATGATATTATTGCCGTGGCGGACAGTGGGGTGACGACTGAAATGCGATGCCGTTCCACGTCTGGACCTCGGTACTGTGGTCCCCAATTGGGGGGGAGGGGGGGTCCTATGCTCATGCCTGACATCAATCCACTCTGAATGACGCCGCTTGCCGTGGCGTTACCGTGACGATTTTCGCAGCTGTCTTCCCTGTCTTCTGTATGTAATTTTAATCCTTAAGAAACATGAACAGCTTTTTAAAGTCCTACAATGGTGCTCTCTGCATACCCTGGATAGCATGAACTGTTGTAGGCACAAGTATTTAAATATGCTAAATGTAAAATCTATGTAACAGTATAAAGCCAGACTACACCATGGGGGGACAAATCCTGGCTTGTATCTCACTTTCTCCCCCTTAATGCAGGTGCAATTGGTTCCCCACTTTATGAACACCAAAATTCCTCTGCACATCATCTGAGAACACAGTGCAGCCTTTTACAGTCGACCCATCCTCCGTCAGAGTTCAGATTCCAGGTGCATTGTGGGACAGATCACACAGCTGGTGTCGGTTAAGTGTGCTGGAATGGCATTTTGCGTGGTGTGCGGCGTAATCGTCCGCGTAAGCGAGCCGGGGCTTTGAGGCGGCGGTCCAGCAGGAAGGGCTGGCGCGTGACTGGTGCACCTCCGCGTCACGCGGCGCTCGTCTGCTCCGCTGCGTGACGCTCCGCTGCGTGACGCTCCGCCTGCGCCGTTTCGCTTCCCTCTCGCCGTGCCGGGAAACACTTCACGGAAGCGTCGCGCGCCGTTTCTCTGAAACCACTTTGTTTGCCAGCGGTTGTCATGGCGAACGTATCCTCTCGCGAGTTATGTCAGTGCCGCTCCGACAGGCCACAGACATGTGCTAAGTGATACTTAAAATAAAGGTATGTAAACAGGGCTTTTAGCAATGTAGATTTGGGTATGGATGGTAAGTTTTGGGAGTGCTGTGCGTGTTTAGGGGGCTGCTGTTTCGGGGGTGATTTACTCCCTACCAATGTGGAGACCAAACTTACGCCCTTGTCTTGTCAGGCTGGGAAGTCTGGGCTTTATGCAGGTCAGTGTGGCTTAACACCAACCACAGAAGGCGGTACACTGGACATTTATGGGACGACTGGGCTTCATAGTGTAGACATGCATCCTACTAGACCATGTGTGGCGGACAGTTCACAGAGCTATTGGATCTTAACAAGAGACTGAGGTTTACAGTAGTGGTTCACAACTGGTTTAGGTTCAGGAGCCGGAGGTGAAATTTGTCGACTAGGGTGGGGGAGAGTGACTGCAGTAAAATTTGCCGGCCGAGCCGGCTGCCAGTAAAATTTGCCATCCCTTTGGGGTTTAAATTACACACTTCGCCCCCTACTCATAATTGTCCCATGACCCACTTTTAGGTCACAACCCCCCAGCCGAGAAAAAACACTGGTTTGCAGCTTTGCTATTAATTCCAGGTTTCGATTCATTATAAGTACATGGCCGCCAGGTCATTATCGGCCACGTCCCTCCATAAATCTAATGAAATGAGAGCAGAGAATCTGCTGACTAGGTCCCGAACAACAGGATATCGAGGAGCCTGAACACTTCCTTCCTTTCTGGGCCCTCACAGCTATTGTAGTGAGACATCCATCCGGTTTGCTCATGTAGAGCTTCCTCCCCAACCCGAGGCCCCTCCATCCCAGTGTGCTCATGCCTGTACGTCTCCGTGACGACAGGCCGCGTCCGTCCACCATCCTCAGCTTTGGCTGATGTCACCTTCTGTGTTTTTAACCCATCGACTTGTGTTTTTATCCATACATTTATGTTTTTTATCCATATTTATTTATTTGCCACGGTATGCATGAGTAAGATAACACAAGTGCAGAGTACAACTGACAAAGACCCAGGGGGGATATACCAGCTGGGGGGGGCAGCTGAAAGCTGATTGGTCACCAGAGTGGCCTCTCCCTGTCACTCACTGATTCCAAACATATGACTGGCTAATAATAAGGTTGGGCCCTCTGTGTAAATTATGGCCTTCCTTATGCCCGCCTCCTTCAAGGAGCCAGTTTGGGTACAAGTGCTGCCAGGCTGAGCTTCCAACGATTAACCAGGAACAAGTTTGGGAGGGACACTGCTGGCAAAACCACTTCCCTACGTCTTGCTTGACCATGAGCTTTGCTCACCTTTCACAGAACACAGGAGTGCTTTTTTCCTCCTGGACTTAATTCGTCTCTGCGTTCCGTGATCCCATCAAGAGCTTTAAAGTAGGTGTTTCCATCTTCTGTAATGGAAGGTTTAATACGTCTCCGTGCCATTCGTCTCAGAACGACCCAGTCTTTTCCTTTTCATCAGCGTGATTGGACAGAGGCACTCTCCTCCATTAAGCATTGATAAAATGCATGGAAACTGCGAGTGTGGTGCTGCTCGGGGGCCGGGGGAAGACGCAGGGACTGTGCTGTCACCTGCGGATCGACCATCATTATCAGTTCAATAGTACAGCAAATCCTGAGGGTCCAGCTGCCATCTTCATCATAACTTGCAGAGTCTCTAACGTATCGTGACCCTTTGACCCTCTGTAAGTAGCCCCTAGTGACGGTGCCCAGTTGCCACTGAATAAGAGGTAATGGTGCTCTTTATCTCTTTATTTATTTGGCAGCTAATGTTTTATATGCTGGTTTGTTTATATGTTTTCTTATTTGACTCCTGTTTAATTTATGCGTGAGTATAAGGGCAGCCTACGGCTTAATTGACCTCTTCTCCGTGTTTGCCGCTGTAGGAAGCATAGGTCTAAATATAGTCAACAAGAAATATACTTAAAAGAAGAGAGTCCTTATCATTAAAGACTTAAAAATCTTCTCTGTTCCTCAACGAGGAATTCAGCCAAAATTGGACACGTGCGCAGTGTCTGTCGTTCTGCAGATGTACCAAGCCACAGTGAATAACATTGATTTAATCGGCTTGTCAGTAATAAAACGAGCATTTCTGCGTTTTGTTTGTGTGACATGTGGCTCACAGTTGGCGCTTGGCAGCCCCGCGAATTCCCCAGCGAATGTTTTTTTTTCTCGCCGATGCTTGGAGAACGAGGTTTACCGTCTCGTCACGCTTGCAGACGCACAGAGCGGCAGAGGACCGCAAACCAGAGACTGAAAGTGGGCCATTGTCTTTCAGTGAGAAAATCACGTCTTAAAGAACACATACAAGACCACCTGCAGCACGTGACGGGGGTTTGAGGTCCCCTTTAGCTGTCTGCCTTATGAACAGCCAATCATATCTTCCCATCCATAGCTCAAGGGGCACCAGTGGACACAGCAGACAGAAATGACAGGAGGGCAGATTCATGAAAAA